GAGGAGGAGGAGGAGGAGGAGGAGGAGGAGGAGGAGAAGCATAGTGAACAATGGAGGCACTTGGTACAAGAAACAAGTGTTTACACTGTGATGAATTGGGGTTTTTCAATAACCATTGCTTCTATTTATCACTGATTTTTATCTTGTCTAATATGAATTACTACATGTCTTCCCTCCTTCAGGATCCAGGATTTTATCTTACTAATTTCTGTAACAGCAACCCTGTTGCTGATATATTGATTCACATTCAGCAAATACTTGTTAAAGAATACTGTGCACAAAAATTCAAATCTCCTTAACAAAAGACAAAGCAAATAGCCAGTCCTGTAATATAGTACCACCCCTGGGGTACCTTCACTTTACAATTACTGTTTCTGCATCTCTGTGTGCAGAATCTTTTATAAGACATGGCAGAAGACTCAAATATAAAAATTTCTTCTTTTTATTCATTTATTTATTGTTTTAATACCAAGGATTGAACCCAGGGGTGCTGAACCACTGAGCCACATCCCTAGGCCCCTTTTTACTTTTTATTTTGAGACAGGATCTCACTAAGTTGCATAGGGCCTCACTAGGTTCCTGAGACTGGCTTTGAATTTGCAATCCTTCTGCCTCAACCTTCAGAGCCACTATGATTACAGGCATGTGCCACCGCAACTGGCTCAAACATGAAGATTTCTAATAATAAATACTGCCATTCATTGTGGGGTTTGCTGTGTGCATATGTTATTCTATTTATTTCACATGAAATCCTATGCCTAGGCATTATTATTCCCTTCTCATACATATGACAAAGTTTAGAAAAGTCAGAAAGACACCTCAAGATGATAGAGTCAGCAAGACATGAAAGTGGGATTTCTCACCTCAGGCCTTTTGAGTCTGAATTCTTCACCTGTTCCACTCCCCCAGGTTTCACACAGTGTCTAATCTCTGCATTCAGAATGAGATCAATCATAGCACACCTACTCCCTCCCCTCAATACTCACTGCCTATCCAAGGGACCAAGACTGTGGCTTGGGCAAGTCCATGCACAGGTAGACGGAAGGATGGATGTCTCAAATCCAACTTTACCCTGAGGGACTGGCAAAGGAAAATGCTATCTCCTCTTTATTCCTTTTTTCACCAATCGGTTGTAAAACTGCTTTAAACCACTTCCGTTTTCTTTTCAGTGGTAGGAGATCCCATCATCAACTCCCAGGGAAATAAGGAACACAGCAAACCCAGAAAACCTCCAGGTCAGAGTGGAGTCAAGGACCTCTATTGCTATTGCTCTATCATGTGAAGATTCTTCAAGAAGTCAGCAGTCCAACATCCCTCACCAGAACCTGACCGTATTGGCATCCTGATCATGGATACTCAGCCTCTAGAACTATGAGAAATGAATATTTATCATTTACGTACCTGGTCTATGGTATTTTGTTATAGCATCATGAATTGACCATCATCAAGGAAATACACATAGGCTGAAGAGCAGCCCCCTGGTGGAAGACACATTAGAAGGGCGGGGATAGCAAGTGAGAGGAAGAAAAGGAGAGCGGAGGAGAGGTATCAATTTAATTAAACCCCAAAGTGCTCAAACCCCATTTCAGCTCTCAACTTCTCTACCCACTAAGGACTGAGGATACAGAAAGGATTTGAAAAGGTATGCCCTCACTACAGAGGATAGGCAGTATCTTAGTCTGTGCTCCGCTGCTATTACAGAACGCCATGAACTGGATTCGTTATATACAATAAAAGTTTATTTGGCTTACATTTCAGGAGGGCCGCATCTAACAAGGACTTTTTTAAAAAATTTTAATAATTATACACCTATTAATATATAATTGTACATAAGAGTGGTATTCATTATGCCATATTCGTACATGCGCGTAACATACTTGATCAATCTTATTCCCTAGCACATTCCCTTTCCCTTTCTCCCTCTGGTGAGGGCTTTCTTGCTGCATCAGGACACCGTGGAAGGCATCACAAAAGCTAACCTCCTTCCTTTCATAACTAGCACACTCTGGTGATAACTAACCTACTCCCGTTATAGTATCCCTAATTAATACATGAGGGTGGTGTCCCCATGACCTGAGCACCTCTTAAAGGACAATGTTGCATTGGGGATTGCTTCCAAGGCTTGAATCTGGGGGACCAAGTTCAAACCATAGCAGTATCACCATGTCACAGTGCAGAAAGCAGACTGAATCCCAGAAATGAGCCCCTACTAGGCTTGCATAAGTCCATAGGATCACCTCTAAGTTATTCACATGGTCTAAAGAGACCTGCCAATTTTAAACATAGGCCACATAAGATGTAGCCTAACTGCCAATATATTAGACATTGAGTCAGAAACTCAGTAACCCCCAGATTTGGCTGAAGCCCAAAAAGAGAGAATCTGAATCTGCCCAAATCATTTAGCAACATGCTCAAATTTACCATTAGAGAACTCCCCCAAATTCATGTTGACATCCTAACCTTTCATGTGATGATATTAGGAGTTAGGTTTTTGTAGGAGTAATAAGGCCATAAGAGTGAGGCTTTCATAAAAGGGATCTATGCCCTTGTAATAGAAACCCCAAAGAGCTATTGCTCTCTCATGTGAAGATTCTTCAAGAAGTCAGCAATCCAACACCCCTCACCAGAACCTGACCGTATTGGCATCCTGATTATGGATACTCAGCCTCTAGAACTATGAGAAATGAATATTTATCATTCACGTACCTGGTCTATGGTATTTTGTTATAGCACCATGAATTGACTTAAGACAGCCACATGGCTAGAATTAGAGCAAGTGGGACATAAAACCAGTCACCCAGAGTCCTGATTCCCCACTACTATCTCCTACTAAAATTAAAATGTCTCTGTTTTTACAGGTCCTACTTAAAATTCACAGAAACCTTATATTCTCTGGGGATAGCTATTCAAAAGTGAACTGAACCCTTGGCTTGATATCTTAGAACAAATCTTGGCACTCAAATAATGCGTTATGAAGAAGTTGACAGAGCAAATTTTGCAAGGCAATTTATTGCTCCTTTTACTTATCATAACTTGTACAGTTCATTTGCAAATGAAAAATCCTATCTGTCCACCTGAAAAATAATTTAGGCAAATATTTCTACCCATCTTGTTTTGGTATACTTTATCCAAAATGTGTGATATTTATAGACTGTTTCAATTTGGGTAAGAAAGATTCCTGGGTGGGCTTTTATGAGGTGAAAATGTATGCTCTTGGGGCATACAAAGATACTGGAGCATTCTTAATTTATTCCATTATCTTTTAATTAAATTGCCCTCTATTATCGTTTTTTGTGAAGTGGGACTGTGAGCTTGTTGGAGCATAGAATTTGGCACCCAGTACTTTAGTCATAATCACTGCATCTTCTTCAACTCATTTGTCCTTCAGTGTTTTATCTCTTTTATGCCTCTAATTATCATCTACAACTGTACTCAGTGCATTTTCCACAACCCAGCATCCAACAAGGGTACCCAATGGCATCCAAAACACCATCACTGCAGTCTAAGCAAGAAACTTAAGTGATACATTTCTTTGTATAATCTTAATGCCAAGCACTAAGCACTGTTCTACATATTTCAACATAAACTATCTCACCTTGTTGTATGTACAGCTCCTTTCATGTGTAAAATGGAGATAACAGGAGTCCCTCTAATTTCCACACATGAGTGTTATAAAGATTTGATGAATTTATAATATAAATTTTATGAACAGACTTGGAACATAGTATGTTCTAGGCTGGGCTCCTTCTTTTTCTTTGAGTTTATTACCTGGAGGTCTTACAAGGATATCAAAGGTAACATATTTAAAGTTGAACTCATATTACTCCTCAAGATTATTTGCTATAGCCACTATTTCCTTTTTCCCTAACATAAGAGTGGCATTTGTCATCATTATCTACCTCATATCAAAGCATGTATAGGGGGGATGTCACAGAATTCTGCCTGGTCTATTGACAAGGTTCAGATAAGGAATCTCAAAAGGATTGATTGCCTCTGCTGCCTGTCTTAGTCCGAGCATCATCACCTCCTGTCTGGACTACTGGAATGGCTCCCTAAGTGCTGTCTGCACTCTCATTCTTCACCACCTCTAAGTACCTTTCTAAGTAATTTCTACCCATGAAGCAGATGGAAGATGTTTCGATGAAGGGCCCTCCTCAGAGGTCCTAGAAGAATCTTGAAAGTATGCTGAATTGCAAGAGACCACATTCACCAATGGAGAGCATTACTATTAAAAACAAAACAAAACAAAACCTGCAGGATATTTAAGTAGTTCTTGGAAGGCTGCTGTGTTAATACACCTCCCTTCCCCAAAGGATGATAGGGAGATGCAGCATACATTTGAGAGACATTGTGAACAATGATTACTTCAATTTATGTCTATCACGCTTACATTGCATGAATAGAGATAAATTGAGTTGACTGGTGATTGCAAAGTAAAAGACTATTTTAGCATAATATATAGAAAGATATTTTACTTCCATTTACACGTTGTCATGCCCCAAGTCAATTGACTAAAGAGTTGTGTTTAGTTATTCAGAGACTTGAGGAAAGATATGACAGTGGAAATTGCACTTTTATACCTTTTTTTTTTTGGAGGGGGGAGCGGTCGGGGGACATCAGGATCTGGTTTATTAGAAGAGCAGGAAGGCTTAAAGACACATATTTACAATTCCATTTCTATACTTCTTTCTGAAAGCTTTTTAAATGAATAATATTGTACAATGTGTTTTTAAACAAATAAGCATAAAGCAAAATACATTTTCACCTGTCACAGTGCATTCTTTGTAATGATTAATTGTTTTACCTAAAGCAATGAAACAAAAAGTAGTGATGATAAATAGGACAAAGAAAATGCAAATTAGGTTCTAAATGCTCTCACCCTATCCAACCCAACTAAAGCAGAAGATTTAAAACCTTATATTCTGGGGTCAAATCTTACATCTACTGGTCACTACTAGTTTGAGCTTAGGCCAAACTTTCAACTCTTCTAATGATGGAAGTTTTGATCTATGAAGTAGGGATAAAACTCCAAAGGCCTAATTTATTAGGTTATAAAATGGATTGAGTTAATATTTGTAAAGCACTTAGAACATAGTAAAAGAACAGTTATATGTGTTTTTAAAAAATTATTCTTGTTGTTATGATCTAACTTTTAATGTATCCTGAAAATTCAGTGCATTGAGTCTTAACTACCAGGGTGCTGCTCTCAGGAGGTAGGACTTTAGGAAGGTGATTAGGTCATTTGGGTAAAACCCTCCTAACTGGGATTAGTACCTTATAAAAGATCATCCAGTGAGAGCCAGCTCCCTCCTTCAGTACTCTGAAGTTCGGAGTTAAGACTGGCCCTCACTAGACACTAACTCTACCTGGACCTTGGATTCCTCAGCCTCCAGAACTACGAGAAATGCTTTTCTGTTGTCTATAAGTTATGCATTTTATAGAATTTTGTCATAGAATCCAGAGATGAACTGAAACATCTGTGATTTTTATTTAATGAGTCAGTACCTCAATGTTATAGGTAACTAATCCTATGTTTTTTAAGCAGTATCAGTTGCTATTTAATACAAACATGCATTTTTATGGTGATTGACATGATTTAGTCCTACATAACATTCACTGATTCCAGCTTGAAGTATAACCATGCATTGATACTGGTGATTCAAAACGACTCACGTTTCAACATTTACTACACTTTTCTCTTTTAAAATTGTGTACCTCTTTTTTTGTGTGACATACAATGCTTGTGAAAGACTACATAACATAAATGTATATCTTAACAAATTATTATAAAAAGAATGCTTATATTCACATGTAAGAGAATAAGACCTCAAAAGCCTCCTTCCAAGTCCTCTCAATTTCTTCTTCTTTTCTCTTATCCCAAGTTTTACCTTTACTATTGTGCTGATTTTCCTTACAATTTTTTTCATGTAACTCTTCATCCTTATACCATCTTTTAGTCTTACTTATTTTTAAAGTTTATGACAATGACATCAAACATACTAAATCTCTTTTGCTTGACTTCCTTTCTTCTTAAAAACTTGTTTTTCAAGATTTGCCATTTGGGTTGCTAGTATTTGCATTTCTTCATTTTTACAATTGTGTAGTATTGTATTGGATTGTACCGCAATTTATTTATTAGCCCTATATACGAAGGTTTTTTTCTATTTTTCATATTGTGATATGACAATTTTTGTTTATTCCAATGATGCAATGTGCATTCATTTCTGTAGAGAACATACTGCACTATATTTGAAATAACATGGACTAAAAATTTTAAACAAGAATTTCTTATTCAAAACAGTTTGATGAATTCTATTTTTCTGTGAGTTGTCTATAAAATATGATTTTTTATATCAATTAAATAGTGTTGCTCATATTATATTCTAGTTAAGATTTTAAT